GGCATTTCTTTCCACTGACAGTCTCTGACATGGCACCGCGGTAGGAGCTTCCATCACCTTCATAACATTCCTCACCCACAGGGATCACCGGCTCCTCTGCAAATCACATATTTAGGTTATAGTACATGGCTCTTTTACCAGTTCTTAGGAAAATAATGAAGAAAAGACACCAAAATCTACATTTAATGAGATATGGTTTTGTAATGGCTCCTTCAACACAGACCAGGTCTAGGCTGATCTCCACAACTAGGTACACTGCAGTACTCCCAGCGGGTCTCAGGATCTGTGGTGTAACACCATGGACTTCTTTCATTATCAGGGTTTCTGCAGTAGTTCTTATCAAGGCCTCTAGGATGGAAACAAATTTTAGTGGCATTCGGGGGCAAGACAAATGTAATCGTTTTACCCTGAAGGAGCCTGTCTCTTTGGTTCTTCAACTGTGTCAAACCCTGCACCTAAAGGGTCCTGTCCTGCAGAGTTTAGCTTCAAGACACTTGCCTGGATATTTCTAGTAATCCTGAAGACTGATAAACTTGTTCAGGCTAAAATTGGGTGGGAGCTAAACTCTGCAAGACAGTGGCCTTTCAGGAGCAGAAATGGACACTCCTGTTCTAGTTCAAGTGAGCCTTGTCCTGCAGAGTTCAGTTCTGACCCTGCTCCAACACCTGCCTGTAATTTTCAAGTAATCCCAAACACCTTGATTAGTTACTTGGCACAAAGGTGGTCCTCCATGTGTAGGGTTTGAAACCTTAAACAAAACCTCAGCGTCCCTCAAGGCCATTATGTTTGATGCTTACTTGCATGGGTAGTTCTCTGAAGTTTTAGAATGCTTGTGGGGAATTTGGGATGACCATTCCTGGCAAGTTTTTCCTGAGACTGTCACCGCAATGGTGCCCCTGTAAGAGCTACCTTCTCCATTTGCACAGGTAAGCTCCGGTACAATTGTGGGTGGTTCAGTTGCTACAAGAAAATAATGACCAGTTAATGATGAACTAATCACTTGTGTTTCGGGTTGACAAGAACATTGCTTACTGCATCGCGGAATGTTGCAAGATTCCCAGCGTTTAGATGGACTAGTGGTAAAACACCAGGGCTTGGGTTCTCCATCAGGGTTCCTGCAATAGTTCTCTTCCAAGTACTTATCAGGAAGGCTACAAATGACAGACCACAGTCAAAGTATGCACAAAATAGACCACATCCCATTTGTGCTATAAAGGATTATGTCTCACGCTGAAGGGATGTAACCATGGTTTTGGGGTTTCTGAGAGTCCCAGCGCTGGCAGGTAAATCCATTAGCAGTGGTGGAGATCTTGCCTCTGTAGTTTTCTCCACTGCACTGCATACATTCCTCTGCAAATATTTAAGAGCAGATTCAAGGGTGAATCCCAAATTGTGCTTTTGCACCCTTGTACTTGCCTTAAAAGTGTTGCTCTGAATGAAAGTGAGCAACTAAATCCCTTTATGAAAGGCTTATCCACCAAGTCGTTAGTGAAAGGACATTTCAAAGAAATAATTTTCTTGTTTATGATCACATGATTCTGGGTAACACATCTTCTCGTTTCATTTCAATACCTGAGATGATTATTATTGTTGTGATTACCAGGGAATTAAATTCAGGTTCTTTATTTTTTAACCGAGCACTGCATAAAGGAGAAAAGCGAAAGTGGGAGTGCTTCCTTCAGAGTGCTCACTTTCAATGCTCTTCAGAGTGAGCAGGCTAGTTAGAATAACTTTTGCATTAGATTTGCCCATCAGTATGATATCCCACCACTATTTAGCAGTTTGTTCACTAAATGTACCTGTGCAATCTTGGATATCGCAGTTCTCCCATCGTTTCCCTGGATCTGTGGTATAGCACCAGGGACCCCCTTGATCTCCATCCGGGTTTCGGCAAAAGTTTGACTCCAAGTCAGCTTTTGGATGCGTCTTTGGTGTTATGCTGTGGAAAGTTACATTAATTAGCTGCCCACTGTAGTTTTTATATTTCCTGTAGCTGTTTTCTCTTTTATTGCATTATGAATGAAAAAGTCAAATTAAGACATATACTTTGGCACATGGGGGAAAGTTCCCTCCCATCGCTGACATATTTTTCCTGATTTTGTCTTGGATTTTGTCCCTCTGTAGTCCATGCCAATACCATTCATGCATTCCAGTAAGTACTCTGTAAGAAGGTATTCAGTGCATTCATTACAACATATTAAAAACACATTGATTGTGTTTTAAGCTAGTATGCTCATTTCATTTACTAATGACATTGATATATGATATATGATATATGTTCGTATGATAATGTGGCAGTTTTCTTATTGGTAGTTACTGTACATTCTTATGGCCCGCTAGGGCAGTGGTTCTCAAAAGCTTTGTCTGTGACACAAAAACAGATCTCCTGTATCTTCCTGTATCAATTAATGTCAATATCAGAGTGAAAAAAAGTGAAACGCACTCAGTATTTTGGCCCAATGTTTCATCTTCCATATGATAGCCAAGCGTTAACATTATAAATCACACTTCTGCTGTGTATGGATCTATTTTTGTTGTGTTAGTCTAGTTAGATGGGCTTATGCAGTTTGACAATATCAATAACTGTTGTTTTTTAAGCATAATTTTGGTAGCGTGTTGATCACTACAGGATTTTAAATGTAAAATCTTGGTCCAGAAGCACCAGCTGAAAACCACTGATCTACAGAATGTTTAAGACAACATCCATCAGGAATATTTCAAGCCACCCAAAATTTAAACGTTTCATTGTTTAACCTAGACAGTACTTGATTCATTTCCACTTTTAAAAAAAAAAAGCAACCCCTCACTGGACGATAGATTTTTAGATAATCCTCTTCACTTTGTTTACTTACTTGGACCAAACTACACGTTGATAAATCTGGATTATATATTAACTCAGGTAGACTTTTGAAAAAGCATTGCAGATTTCTTAAAATTCGTAATGTACTTAAAGCTGATTTAAAAGGTAGTAATGCATGCTGACATGATTTTAGGGGGTCCTTCATAACATCATCTGTTATTAAACCTTCAAATCTGTAAAGTAATAAAATAGACTGGTCTATAAAATCTTACCCTTTTTCTCATAGAGGGCAACACTCATTCTTCGCAGTATTAGATCAGTTTTCGAGTTGGCAGGTAATGTTACACAATCCTGATCTTTTTCATGGTATAAAAAGGACCTGCAAAGCACATATACACAAATGCATACACATATATTTAATCATTATAGATTGGAATAAAGCCTCACTTGTTGACATTAGATCAGTCTAGTACCGCAGAATATGTTTTGAGAGTTTTGTTATGGTCTGACTTGCACCTGCATGTAAAAAAAGTCTCTTTGTTACACTTGACGGCACAATCTTCCACTGTTTTTGCAGTGTATTGACTTTTAGGTAGTTTCACTATCCAGGCCCCATCTGTTTTCATATATGCTTCCAAAACATCTGCAGAATGAGAAAAGATGGGGAAAAGGATAAACTGAGTTTCAAGTCACAAACACGTGATTTATTAGTATTGATGAACTTCTAAAATATAAAGATTTCAAACTAGATCAACAGAACTCTTTGTGTGAAAGCATAAACTGAACACATTTGCAGATGAGCAGATCTTACCTGTGCTTTGGCTGTGGCACCTGAGGAAATCTGAAGGGAATTAACATGATCATATCAATCATATACAAATAAATGCTATTAATTATAGGTTTTAGTCGGTTCATTTTATTATCTATAGCATAGAAGAAATAGTCTTAAAATTAAGCGCTATAAATAAATATCTGTTGGCTTACCTGTAAAAAGGAAGAGACCAACTAAAAGAACTGCTTTGTGAATCTCCATGTCGGAGAATTGACAGACAGGGACTTTGAGAGGTTTTCAATCTTTTAAGCATATCAGTACAACAAACATCATAGGGCCGTCACTCATCAGTCAATCATTGTCCTAACAAGGACATGGACCAGGTCAAGATGTGTTTGTCGATCAGTGTGTTGTTTGAACCCACCATTACTCTTTCTGATCACATGATTTATCAGAGCTGGACTTTTTATTTGATCAACATCACTGGTTGTACTTGACATTAAGATAGTTTGGTACTAAAAAATGCATTAAAAAAGCAATGAGATATAGAGATAAAAGGACAGGCAGATAAAGTCTTTAATTATTAGGCCACTGATTAAACAAACTACTCGTTCTTGAGACCCAGAAAACTCAATAGTGTATTTAATTTAGCATTTAAGAAAAATACAACTATGTATAAATTCAATCCTTTTAAAAAGTATATTCTCATCATTGTCACAAATCAACAAGTTAATTATCAACTGAGAAAACAGGAGCCGTCCTATGCTAACTCAATACACAAACAGAACAGCCTAATTTTGCAATTGTGAACACTGAGCCAAGCAAAGAGTGTAATAGGACAAAACACTAGTTACGCTTGTTTTCCTCACTCTACCCCCATTCAAAAAAACAGTAGAAAGCAATCAAGGTTTGGCGTTTCAATCTGGTATCAGCATCCACTGTTTACAGTTACTATAACTACTCCAGTTGAAGCTGTTGGGTGTGGGGTGTGCATTGCTGTACAAATCTACGCATGTGTACACTTACTTTAATCAGATTAAAGGATTGATCAAGGTAAGTTGTAATTTTGTTGACTTTAAATTGCAGATTAGATTGCATTATTCATTTTGTTATTTCAGTTTTGTTGTATTCAGTTGTTCAAGGCTGTGACATCTTAAGATTTGTTAGGGTTATATTGATTTTATATTGATATTGATTTTTGTCCCTAACTACTGCTGTAATAATAACTGATAGAGATTTCATAACAATCAAAACAAAAACCTCTTTCCCCAAAGTCCTACAGTCAAACTTGAGGGCAATGTCTGCAGAAATACCCCAAAACCGAACTGCGGTAGAAACCCGTATGAGACTGTTTGGGGGACCCTTCAATCTGTCTGCTCTGTTGTCCAGCATCATGAGAGAAACCAGCCGAGCTGCCAGCTACGTCAAATGAGTGAATCTGAACCCGGTTTCCCATCTCAGTCTGTGAATCAGGAGACGCTTGAAGAACAGCGGAGATCTGAAATGGGCAGAGCCGCCTGCCAACCTGCCCAACATATGTCTCAAAGATCCCATCAGGAGGTTAGTCTCGAGATTTTGCTTTTTTTTGTACATTTGTTGTTTATTAGTTAGTGAACATGATTAATGCTGAATATGTCCTTTAGAATCGTCAGTAAATAATGTGCAGGTTGAAATTTGCAGGTGTGAGAGGGAGATGAAGCCACATTTACAAAGTAATCAGCTGTCTCAATACCACCTTTAGATGGTGTTGTTATTAGTTTGTTAGTTGTTTATTAGTGTTTTGGTTTATTAGCTCTCTTTTTTCATTATGAGTATGTTGGCTACCATAGCAATAAACTTTAAATGAAACATGTATGCAAAATAAATGCGCAAATGTTGGGGTAGTTGGATGGGAAGTGGGGTGTTGTCTGCTGTTACACGCTTAAAAATAAAGGTGCTTCACGATGCCATAGAAGAACCTTTTTTGTGGTTCCATAAAGAACCTTTAACATCTGAAGAACCTTTCTGTTTCACAAAAGGTTCTTTGTGGTGAAAGAAGGTTCTTCAGATTATAAAAAGATGATTGGACTATTGATATGTAGAGAACATGGTATCTCAAATTGAATTTTATTCCCACACTATTGTAAAAATACATTTTTTCTAAAGAGCATAAAGATAAGGGACTTCTTGATTCTTACCATTGGTGTTACTAGTTGCCAGAGTCTCTGACTCATTCTTAATCGCACCAGAATATGTGGCTTTGAATGAGCCTATCTTGAAGGGATCAGCTTCTGAAAAGCTCAGAGGTGTCTGGACTTGCCAGTGCGCTAAGAAAGCGGGAAATAAAGATTCAGATTTTTGTGGAACAGATTTTCTTTGTGGAACCAAAAATGGTTCTTCTATGGCATCGCTGTGAAGAACCTTATATGCACCTTTATTTTTAAGAGTGTATGTTGCCACAAATGTAAAATTAAACTTTTACCCTAGCTGTTTTGTGCTCATCTGCTTCTCCCTTTTGCTCTTTTCAATCTATATAGACTAATACAATCAGATAAAACAATGATTTCTCAAATATTTTTTGCAATATACACTGATAAATTTAACATTACTCAAATGAGATGACTGGATGCTTTCAACTTATTTCCTATGGAACTGTCACCAACTGAATTGCCATGATCAAACCATTTAAAATACAGTGAATTTAGCAACAAACTCGATCATAATGCACAATATTTCCATATAACTTTGAGGTTCAGCTCATATTAATGGAGTGTTTCACTAGTTAGCAGTAAGTTACCTCACCTGAATATGTTCATAGTTTTTTTTGTTGGATGTTTCGACGTGGAAAGCAGTTATCTTCGGAATGGAAACATGGATATTTGTAAAAAAAAAATATCACACTTTTTGTGCTTATTTATTTCAGTTAATGTCATAAAACTAGCGAGCTATGCCGGTAGTAGTATTGTACGGGTCTAGTTTTCCAGGGGGTCATTAGAGAGATTTGTGTTTCACAGACATATTTGTGATTTGAATCCCGTCCTAATCTGCCAAGTCTATGTTTTTCTCACAGTCTCCGTAATTAATCCAGAGCAATTTAGCTACTGTTTGTGGTATAGTTAGATGGGGGAAAGAAGTCATCTGCTGTTTACACCAACCTCAAAATCAAACCTACGCCCTAGCTGTTAGCTAATACAGATGTAGATGTAACCTTTCCTTTTTTTTTTTTTTTTATCTCAATAGAAATTTTGATTTTTGCATCTGATCATATCACTTTCCGGACAGAATCCAGGCCAAAATGACAAAATGATCCTTCAGCTCCAAGTGAAGCAGTTGCAGAGGGTTTTACAGGAACAGAATGCATTGCTCTCTCTTATCAGCCCAGGTACGTTAGGTGAAACTCTTACATAATAAGGTTAATTAAAGGTAAAGTTACAATGGCTATGTTATTGAGAAAAGCATCATTTAAATTTTTCAATTATAAAATGTTGTAGTTCTCATTCAAATTATATTTACAAGAAGATAAGCCAATGACAGTTTTAATCTGTGATTAGATCTGTGACATGAGCATTACTCTTTTTTTAGTTTTACCCACCATCACTACAAATGCAGTGTATTTTACACTGTATGGTAAATGCACCACTCTTTTTCTTCATTACAGAACTTTCACTTTCAGGACAGATTTTATCTCCCGCTTTCTTAGCGCACTGGCAAGTCCAGACACCTCTGAGGCTTTCAGAAGCTGATCCCTTCAACTCTACTGGGAATTTAGATGCCTTCAAGATAGGCTCATTCAAAGCCACATATTCTGGTGCGATTAAGAATGAGTCAGAGACTCTGGCAACTAGTAACACCAATGGTAAGAATCAAGAAGTCCCTTATCTTTATGCTCTTTAGAAAAATTTATTTTTACAATAGTGTGGGAATAAAATTCAATTTGAGATACCATGTTCTCTACATATCAATAGTCCAATCATAATTATACATGCGAAAAAAATGAAAACATGAAATGTTGCACATTTCATCCTCTGTGCCTGAGAAAGAAGTTTCTTAAATCATACGTTTCCAGTTTCCAGACTACAAATCATGAGTCACATTTACAAATCTACATCAGAAAGTCCAATATAAGTAAGACACGTAAACAGGAGGTGAATTAAAAATGAATTGACATGCTGCAGTGTGACATGCTACTTCATCTAAAACTGCTTTTAAAAGCATATAGCTAATTGTTTTGACATTTTTATGCATTGGACTATTTGTACATCTGTCACACCGCAGGGCCATTTAAAATGAACTAGAATGCAGAAAACAAATGTGATTTTAAAATGGTCACAGTGCCTAAAACATACACTTCTGCAATTTATACATTCCTAAAAATGTTAACCTAAATTTTTTTTTTTAAAGAAACATTTTAAAAATAAATAAATCTTAGACATGATACTGTATGTGTCAACTACCCATTTACTATTCAAAATGTTTAAGCAAAATGCAATTGCAAGAAACCAATTTCAACATCCTTTTCAAAGCATCTTGTTTTTTTACTTAGTTCAGTCATCTGCAGTATCTTCTGAACTTTCCGGTTGCTCCTTCTCCAGCAGGAAGGGAAGATATATTGATATATACAGCTTCTTAAATTTACTGCTGCTCAGGCAGTACAGGATCGGATTCAGCAGACAGTTCAGATAAGAGAGACAAACAAGCCCAACGTACAGTTTAATGACAGTAACTTTTTCCTCTTTCATCACGAGCCCACTGATCTTTAGTTGCACCGCTCTTGTAAAGGCATATGGCAAGAAGCAGACAGCAAAGATGAGAACCACCGAAGTGACGAGGAACATCACTCTCCAGAGTTTAGTCTTGTCGCCCACCGACTTCTGTTTGAGTCTTTTGATAATCCGTATAGAGCAGTACACAAGAACAAAAAAGGGGATGAAAATCTGAGTAAAAAACGCAGTTTCCCTCAGTAGAACAATGAATCTTTTTCACTGCTGTTGCATCTGATAAAACTTTGCAACATGGCCGGAATGGTCAAAATTCCCAGCAGCACCCAGATGAATACAGAAATCTGAGGCGATCGTTTCAAAATCATCAGAACTTTCTTCTTCCCAGGATGGACCACGCTAATATATCGATAAATAGAGATGACCGTCAGGAAGGCGATGCTGGCTCCTCGGTTGAGAAACTGCAGAAAGAGCTGTACTTTGCACACTACTTTCTGTTCACTGCATTGCTGAAAGTTATACGCCTTTACGGGCAATCCAATCAGCAACAAAATATTAGCCAGGGCCAGATTGAACAGGAAATTGTTAATGGTTTTAGATTTCCAGAACTTGAGCTTAAAGATTAAGAGATGGATAACTGTAATGTTCAGCAGGAGACCCAAGATAAACTCCAGCACTACCACAGAAGTGTAGAAAATATACAGCGCTCGGTTTTGGTCCACGTTCTCCTGACAGTTTGTGTCAGTGTTGGCTGTATGGAGTTGTCCATATTCTCCAAATTTTGATTCCGGGTCCAAAGTGATTTCTAATGTAAGTAGACGACACAACTGTGAATGTCTGTTCTACCAAAGCAGAGCATTTTAAAGCTGCTCAGACCTGAAGGCAAAGCACTTCCTCTGCTAGAGCATTCAAGTCTGTACTTGTTGAGAAGCTACAGTAAATGCCTGAAGTCACGAACTGCTGTGAAAAAGACAAAAAAGGCCATCATCAAAGACAACTAATGTTTAAATCTTTTATAGAGCACTCGGTGAGCCTCACTGATAATGGTCAAAGCTTATGCACACTTTAAAAAAGCAGCTAAAGACATATAGTCATGTGTATTTGCAAAATCATATCTCATGAGAGCAGAGCATATTCTGGCAGTACAATTGTGGGGCATGTTGACTTTACTGTGCAAGTTATAACAAATGTACACGAAAAAATGTGATGGTTATTGATGGCTTCTGTCTTAAACACCTTAGTTTGTATATTAGGACTATTTAGTGGCTTATCCAGACAGGCCTGAGTAGACTGAAGGATGTTTGTGAAGAAAATTAGCTGAGGGGCAAATATTGCCTTTTTTAGCAAAAGGACATGACCTGTTTAAAAGATTTGCCATGCCTCCCATTTCCACAACAAGCTGATTTTTACAGTAGTTCAGTATTCTTAACCATGCAGACGTTCACGTTTAAGACTATATCTTGCATAATGTTGGAAAAATGAATTGCATTACATTTGTTCCTTGAAGTTCGGGTTACCTCGTTTATGTTTGGTGATAATATTACATGAGATTTCGATTTGCATTGCAGATGTTGCACCATCAGCAGAGCTCAGACGCTTGTCTCCTATTAAAGAAGAGTCTTTAGAACCTGCACAAGAAGACTGTCCTCTTAGCCCTTTCGGATCGAGGCAAGGTCTCCCACCAAACCCAGAGGAAAGGTATTATATGAAGCAAAAATATATATTTATAAAACCGACTGTTTTGAAGTTTCATGGAAGCTGAGTAAAGTTATAATCACTGTGGGACATCGATGAGAATGCACAAAGTTCCATTAATTACTTTATCAATGACTCGACATGTGGATCACGGTGTGATTACTATAAAGAAAAGAACAAGAAAAATATCAGTTACAAATCTAAATCATCAAACACTAATATATTGCTGGTCATGCAACAACAAATTCCTCTCATTATTACCAAGGTTTCAACAATACATCAAATGATCAAATATTTAAACATACAACAAACAATATCCATGGATATAAAATTGATTGATTAATGTAACTGAAATTCTTGTCTGCAGTAGTGGCTGCTAAAAAATTCAGCTTTGCAATCACAGAAATAAATTACATTTTAAAATATATAAAAAATAAAAAAGACCCATTTTAAAAATTTTAATATTTCACAAGATTAGGTTACTGTTGCATGCTTTCATGAGCATAACAGACTTTCAAAAAATGTTCATATCTTACAGATCACAAACTTTTGAACATTAGCGTAAATAAAAGAAACGTACACATTTAAAGGCTTTAAATAATATCTATTAAACACAGGCCTATTCGACCAGGACTGAGAGAAGAGCCAAAAACATTTGAAGATTTTGTTGAAGAACATCTCAAAACAGACCAAGCTATTCTCCAACATGAGATTCAGGTATGAGCAGTCTTCAAAAAGTAATTTATATACAGTTTAAGTGTGTTCTAAGCAATATCCTCTCTATTTTCCAGAGTAATGCACAAATCAGAGGAGCAGAGAAGAGGAATTTCCTCCGTAAAGGAGAGGGAACATCTAGAATTACGAAGGGTAAGGACTGCTCACAAAAACTCCAGAGCTCTGTTAGTCCACAAATAAAGCTCAGTCAGCAGACGATACGTCCCACTGAATTTCATCAGAAAGAGATACCAAATAGGAGCAGTCCTGGACTGAAGGGCTTAGGAAACTTCTGTGACCAAAGATCTGCCGTGGAAGACCCTCTAAAGAAGACCGTTGCTCTACAGGATGATGGTTTATCATCAACCAACAAAGGGAAAGTCAAAGCTTTGACTGCTAATAACAATGCAGTCTCACTTAAAAGTAAGCACAGTGTAGGAGTCTTGAGGAATTATGGTAAAACCAATGGAAGCAAGCCAAGTGGATCTGCTCTGGCACAAAGCAAAGAAAGTGTCGGCTTTAAACAAATTAATGACCACATTGTCAAAATCCCTGAGAAAAATTGTCTTACTACAAATTACCGTTTACACAGCCAGAGTGGTTATCCGTATAAAGAAGTCAATCTAACTGACGAGGTGATGGAGTCACTGGCTCTTAGCGATTCTCGCGACAGCGCTAGCAGTGAGGACGGACCCAACACTCAGTCTCACCGACCGTTACCTCATTACCTCTCAAGGCACACGGATCACAAAGATCAGAGTCTGAATTTGTCAGATGGTGACTATGCTAGTGACGCCCCGAGTGAGACTCGATTTAATGAAGAACATCACACTTCTACTCCTATGTCGAGTTCTTCAAGCTTCAGCAGCGATTCTGAATTTAAGAGCTTAGAAGGGTCTATGGCTAACTGCTCCAAAAAAACAGAAGAAAGGGGGATCGACAGTGACTTTAGACAACCTCCTGCTTCTGAGCTCCTCACAATGGAGTTCTCAAAAGTCAAAGTTACTTCGGAAGACACCACTCATTACATGGGACAAGAGCAACCAGATACTCCAATCAGGTTTTGTAGAAAGATTATGATTTTACATAATAATATGATATTTACTCTAGCCCTCAATCTGAAGTTTCTATCTCTGAATTCACATATTCATTCATTTGACTAGGGACGTGATGGGAGAGCATGGTTTTATTGGTGAGGATGGCTGCAGGCCTTTGCTTAGGCTTAAGAAAGAACTTCATGAACCTCAGGTAAAATCAACAAGACATTTAGACAAGTTTACATCATGTCTCAATGTGTAAGAATCCACTTTATTTCTCACATACAGTACTACTAAAAATAAAGGTTCCAAAAGGTTTTCACAATGACTTCGTAGAGGAACCATTTTGGGTTCCTCAAAGAACCTTTCACTAAATAGTTCTGAAAATAATTTTTTTTTAATGTGAACAACATTTTAACCTTTTTCCACTTCAAAGAATTTTTGTGTAGTGGAAATGTTTTATAGATGTTTAATTTTCTTCATGGAACCACTTGAAGAAAGAAATCAAAACATTGATTTTTTTATACTGTCTTATCCTTAAATGGTTTTTCAATAGTGAATACATCCAAAAATTACTTAATATGTTATGTTTAAATCTTTGTGCATGTAGGATCTGAGACTGCAGATCTCATCTCTGAAGCAGCAGTTGATGGAGAGGGAGTCTCACTGGTTGCAGGCCAACAGTATCCTCCAGAGCCGTGTTGAAGCCCTCACCCGAGAAAACCAGGAGCTTCACAGCAGGCTCAATTTGAACAAGAGATCGGACCAGAGTGCTGGTTCCTCTGCTCTTCAGTCTGGATCATACAGCATGGTCAGAGCAAATTCAAACCACCATTTTTCCACAAAAAATATCTAAACATATATGGAACACACACACATACAGGTGCATCTCGATAAATTAGAATGTCGTGGAAAAGTTCATTTATTTTATTCATTCAACTCAAATTGTGAAACTCGTGTATTAAATAAATTCAATGCACACAGACTGAAGTAGTTTAAGTCTTTGGTTCTTTTAATTGTGATGATTTTGGCTCA